CAATACATAGATACTTAAGGGAAAAGGTAGCAAATAATAGTTATTGTCAAGCTAATACTTTATCAGAGATAACTTATAAAACTTAAGATCCCACAAAATGAACTCAATACATTCTTTGCTTTAGTCTTTTTGCTTCCAATGGAATAAGCCATTGGAGGCAGGGATCACAGTCTTCCATCCAGAGCCACCTTCAAATTTCTATTCAGAAGACCCACTATAGTCGATAGTTTTTTAGAATCTTCCAATTTGACTAAATGGAGAATGAAAGCAGACTCTATTTAATGCTATATGGTCTTATCACTGAATTTGTCCCTGAATGAGTCCTTGTCTGATGAAACATGAACTGTGTGCTTTTTTTCCTCTATGACAGAGCAAGAGGTTTGGTGTCTTTTATTTTCACTATGGCAAAGAGCTAAAAAAAATCCTGAAAGGCAATGCTCCTGGATAAAAATGCTAAAAATATTGGGGAAAAACTATAACTTAAATTCAAGTAATTTCATTGGTGATAATCCATGCCTGAGTCCTGAATATGAATAAAAATGTCAGTTTCTTTGGTTCTTTTGGAAAAAACAAAACAAAGCTTGATATTAGAGCAAACATTCTAATGTGTACTTATATGCAATGAAAAGAATATTGACTGGATGCCAATGAACTGATTGCAGCTGTATATTTAATGTGGAGTGACAATCCCCCCCTTTTTTTGTAAGATTATAGTCTTAATTCCTACAGTAAAAAAAATAAAATAAAAATTAAAAAAATGAAAGGAAAGGAAACTAAAAACTTTGGATGAAATGGACTTATGAACAACTTTCAGGGAGAATTGTAAAGGGAAAGAACAAAGAGAACAAAATTGCCTCTCACCTTACTTAGATATAGGATCTAATGGTGTTAGAAGGTGATGGTGAGCCCAGGCCCAGCAAGGGACCCAACTCAGACCTTTCTGATTCTTGTACATTACACACTGAAGCTTCCCACAGAAGCTGTTCAGGGACAAAAGCTAAGAAAAGAACCTCTGCTTTCTTATAATTAATTCTTATCATGTTCCATAAATATCTTTGAAGGTATACTGACATGATCTAGGTGTTTGAAAAATGACAATTTCAGTGCATTTATGCCTTTTAAATGTTACTACACAATAACAAATAACTTGTGTCAATTGCTTGTCGTTTGGGACATGCATAAAATACAGGCTAATGTGGCATTATGTAACAATGACCTCTGCATGATTTCAAAATCTGGGCAGGTCTCAGACTGTTTTTTGTGGCTTTGGTGGGCTTGGTGCCTAAGTTGCCAGCCTTATGTGCTGACCACATGAGGGTCTTTGCTCTTCCTTCCATACCTGACTACCTTAGGGCAACTCTGAGAAAGAAAGCATCAAATGCCAAGTTTGCTACTGTGAGCGTGACCATAAGCAGTCATTATTTTTTTAAATTTTCCTTTAGGGCTGTGTTTGTGTATGTGTGAAATAGGTCCAAACATTCTATTGTATATATTATATTTCCAGTTTGACAAGTTAGAGTATAGTTAAGTGTTTCTCAGGGGATATCAGTCTCACTAAATATAGTGGTACACAAAATAGAATTCCATAGTCAAACGAGGTTGAGTTGCAGCCTTTCCTGGAGATTTACAATGTTCATTAACATTTTAAAGGCTCGTATAAATTCCAAAGAAGCTTATTTAACTGTATTTAATGCAGTTATTTTCCAAACTAATTTGACCATGAAGCATGTTTGATTGTGTAGAACATATAAGTAGCCCAGAGTCATATCCCATAAATCACACATTGGAAATTGATTGTCCAGAAAAATAATTTAGAGAATAACAAAGTAACACCTCAGTATGTTGGAACCTCTGAACATCTCAACTACCCATTGATTTTGCTACAGGGCATCAGTGGGAGAAGATTCTTCTGAGCCGCAGTAACCAGGAAATAAATAGTCCAAAAGAAAGAATTGCCAAACAACCTCTAGAAGAGAGAGAAAACGAGGATAGGAAGAACAAAGCTCACCAGGCAGCACAAATTGAATGGTTGGGATTTCGCAAACCTAGCGAAGTTGACATGCTGCATTCTCAACATGGTGAGCAGGAAGAGGTTTGGAATGAAGAAGCTCCTGAGGATAATGGTGATGATTACAATGATGATGAAGATGAAGTTCGAGTGATAGAATTCAAGAAAAAATATGAAGAAGGTTCTCAATTTAAAGAAGAAACCGATGCAAGTGAGGACTCCCCACTGAGCAGCCCCGGCTCCCAACCTGTGACACCCGATGAGCAGCCAACATTAGGAAAGAAGGGAGATATCTCCAGAAATGCTTATTCAAGATACAATACAATATCCTATCGGAAAATAAGGAAGGGAAACACCAAGCAAAGAATTGATGAATTCGAGTCTATGATGCATTTATGAACTAACTGGAACTGAGAATTTCTCACACCCACTAAAGAAAAAGCTAATTCCATTTGTCCTGAGTAGAATGTTTCTATGCCTTGAGTTACTGCCCCCCCCCCCCCCCGCCTTGAAACACAGGCAAGCTTATTGTCTTTTTTTTTGCTGTAGAATGATATGGAAATAACCTTAGGCAAAACTCAGTCTGGTAACCTCAAATCAAAAAGCTTTAGATTCATTCTTGAGCACTTGCTATTTAAAACTTTACTAATATAGCATTATGTGACAAGCATTAAGAGCCAGACCCACTGGGGACTCTTGCATGATTTGGCTTTAAAAGTAGCAAAGCTGGAAAAAGTAGCCATCAAATCAAAGAGATAACTATTTGAAATGACTCCTGTATTTCTTCTGGTGTCTTTCTTTCTCTGAGTCCTCCTCCTTTTAAGCATGTTTTTTATAGACTCTGGTAATAAACTTTCAAAAATTCTTTGCCTTATTACCATAAAAGAAAACATCTTGAGTGGTTTTCCTTGGCATCTAGTGAGTGAAAATTCCATGGACCACCTTCCTAGTGTCACCATTCACTGAATTTTCTCACTAAGAGGCAGAGCTATTGCAGAATTCTGTTTGCTAAATGTTGGCTTTATGCTTTCAAACTGAATTAAACCCATTGTGAGGTTGATAAAGGGAGGGGCTAGAAGATTGTGGGCAATAGACTAAGGAGTTGTGTTGGATAGTTGTATTTTTGTGACTGAAAACAAAATCTTGTCTAGCACAATTAAAGTCATAAAAAAGAAAAATGATGATTTTAGCACAGTTTTCTGAGAATGTCCCTCTCTATTATCATGCTTTCTCTTATTAACAGGATCTCAGAATAATTTTATTTCCTTAGAAACCTGAGACAATGCTAGTCACAACTGTACTAGTTACTATGAAAATGGAAATAATTATCTTAGAATATTTTTAAAGTAGGGTGTGAGCATATATTTTTAGTGAGAAAGTTCTGATAGTTGTTGGGAATATGTAATTCACTGAACCTCAGCCCAAATCAAAAAAAAAAAAAAAACTTAAAATTATACTTGTGGAGCTTCACTCAAATCAATGCATCAAATAATGTATTGAATATTTATGAAAAGAGAGTCTATATTTATATTCTTACTTAGTTTGTTCCACAATGTTTCTTTTCATGTTTCCATATATATTACCCTGAACTTTCTGTTGCCACAGTTAAAAATATCTTTTGGCTCCACAAATAAAAAGACAATTCCTTATTGTCTGAGTGTAATACAGTCTTCATTGTACTATTCAGCTCTTTGTTTATTTCTTTTTCATTTTGTGAAAAAGCCTGAGTTATTCCTTCTAGATTATTCCTTATTTATGTGTAACAAATCCCACATGTCTTAATGGCAGCTTCTTTAATTCTTCCTGGTTATATAATATTTTTCCACTAAATACTGCCATTTAGTGTTTGCAAGACTCAATGTTATTCAGGATCAAGGTGCTCCTTTTATTCTATTTCACAGTTACTACAGAACCTGCAGATTTCATTTGAGACAACATGAGGGAAGTCAGATCTTTATTGATAATGTTAGGTAGGAGATGGGTGCACTAGGACAATTTTCTATTTAATTTAGAGCCTTTAAATTGTTCCACCTAGAAACTATTTTCTTTCCCCTATGATTTTCTACTTAACTTCAAAGTACAGTATTGTGTTTTCCATCATGGAACAGGACCATATTGTTAGTCCACTTTACCCTGCATTTTGAGTTATTCTAAATGAGGTGATGAATTCCTGTGAAACTTGAAGGAGATGGGTGGTCTATGGGTAGGTGACAAGGCAAAGCAACTGGCTCTTATGGGCTGCAGTATATAGTGTTTTGGTCTTTTTAGCTATGTATTCTTACCAGACAATTAACCAATTGTGAAATATTTTGTCAACAAAGACTATGTTAGGGTATGTTCAATTGGTAAATGCTTCAAGTTCATGGATGGGGCAAAGTGGTTACAAGAGAGCACTGACACTCATCTTCAGCACTGGCACGTGTTGCCCTTACTGCCATCACAGAGTTAAGCTACCTGGAGAAATATGGCAGGGATTTAAGTCTTTGTAGCTTAGCAAAGACAAGGTCCTGTTTCAGATTATGTGAGGGATACTCAACATATTTGAAAGGCACATGGGACATGATTAAGGACACACATTGGTAACTACACATGAGGTTTACCTGAGTCATTGTGATTCCAGGTTCAGTTAGAACTCTGGTATCTGAGAGAAAAGAAAATTGGTTTATTGTGCAAATGCTGATATTTCTTGCATGACCTTTTATTTTCTTTTGTTGTCATCTGATTAGAAATTAATAATAGCTTTATTTGTCTGTAAATATAATGTTATGGTGAAGACACAGAATCTGTAGAACCTATCTCTGTATATTAACATTTAAATAAAGAACTGCTGTGTCTGGCTTGCTGTGAATAAAAGTTTGTGTCTTTGCTTCTGGTTTCTAGACTTTGGCCACCTTTTAAATTTTAGTAAGAAACTTCCATATTAGCAGCTACTAAGAATATCAATAATTGCCTTTTCAAAAATCAAGAGAATAACTCATTTCAATTTGTTTGCATTGTTTATTTCAAAAAGGCTTTTTAAATGATTACATATGAAATTATAAAAACTTTCTGGGAGATATATAATATACAGGAAAAAAAAATTTCTATTACTTTGAAAGAAACTGAGATATTGTTTTAGTTGCATATTAACACCAACAATTTGAAAAAATACATATTTATCTTTGTAATTGTCAAGGTAATACATTTAAACTATACTGGAACTTTTATAGTAATTGTTTCCACATATTTACATGGGGTAGTACTTTTGGCACATTTTCAAATGGAGAACAGACATTTAAGTTTTTCAAAGTGATAGGGAAAACATTTAAAATAAGTAATAATAGAGAATTATGGAAAAGGATGAAACACCGGGGTATCATAAAGAAGAAATATGTTTGACCATATGAGAAAGGCAACCACTTCTCTTAAAGTCTGAACTTTCATTGCTCTATAAAAACAAGAGGGCTATAAAAGGTAATGTCAAAGGTATATTTGCCAATATTAAAATATCAAACTGTAGCATAACACCATAAATATGAGGACCAAAATCTTCACACAGCTCATGAAGAACACGACATGACTGGGCCATACTGTCTACACAGACATAATGACACGGGGCGGGGGGGGGGGGGCTGGTAGTGGGCAACAGAAATCATCTAGAAACATGGCAAAGTACAAAAGACACTGGTGACATCTAAGAACTACCTGCCAGGTCAGGGAAATTTTAGACATAAATTTAGAAAGCTACTTGTACTTTTTCCTAGAAATTAAAAATTATCTATCCAACTCCTTCTTTATAATGACTTTGGTTGATCATAGGCAAAAATGTGGTACATAAAGATGTCCAAATTGACTCCAAACTCCTTTATGCTCTATAACTTCAATCTTGTTCTCTCACTAAGGAATGTTTTCAGGGACTCAATAACAAAATTATTCAATACTCTTCTATGTCTTGTTTTAAGCTCACTTCCTATGGACTAATATGTATAAAACTAGTGAAATTTGAGCAGTGTTTGAAGGAGAAGAATGAGAGCATTGTGCACAATCATGAACAGAAGAACAAGCACGCCGATAATTTAGAGTTTGATTACTCCTTCAAGTCTGCAAAACAGTATCTAGAGTGAAAGTTCACTTGTTATTGAAACTGTTATATAGAAAGTTAGATTAGACAAAGCCATGTAACTAAGAGAATTAAAATTATTCAGTGACATTTAATTTCCTTCATGTTGCAGGTGGAAATTCTGGGTTTTACTTTCTCCCAATCTATAGCATCAAATACACACATACACACGCACATGCCTTTACAAAAATTGATGTTTTTGAATGGTCAGGAAAAAAATTAAAATCTTCATTCATGTTATCAAAGCTTTTAATTTCAATATGTAATTTAAAGGCTTTTATTTATGTAGAGATCTGTGACTAACATCTTTAAACTCACAATTATCAATTAACAATAAAATAGAAAACCTTTATTTAAAAAATATTTATTACTTATTTGATGGCAGTTGTCATTACTAGGATCTCAGCATATTCTAAATTATTCTAAATTACCCTATATGATTTAAAATGAGAATTTTCACTAGTGTTTTGTTTGTGTGTTTTATAAAGCAAAGGCTTACATAAATTGGCAAAGGGATCTGAATTAAAATGCTGACTATAAGTTGACCTACTGCTTTGAAAAATGGAAGCATTAAGTTCATTGTATCTGATGGTATTCCCTCTGCTCTTTCTCTTAGATACAGGCACCAGCAACTCTAATATCATCCATTAAGCTTCATGGCAGAATATAATACTTTATATGGCTTATTCAAACCTGAATGGAACAGGTATTTATAAAAAAATAAATATTTTTACAACAGCCTTGGTTAGGATTTCTTTTTTCATTTCAAAGCATTTGGACTTGTAGCAATCATTGAACAACCTATAACACTGGTTGCAAAAGCACTTTAGTGACAATCTACACAGTGAATGGAAGTTAAGAATCATGATTTCTATTTTAAATTGAAAGTCTTCAATTTTTTATTTTCTACTTCTATTCAAATTGAGCAACTTGTTAGCTTTGCTTAAAGATTTGGGGAAGAAAGATTTAGGGTTTACAGGGAAGCAAACCTGTACATATCTATCACTCGTATTTGATACAGAAAGTAGAAAAGAACAGGTCTTGCATGAAATCATGTATATAGATCATTGCAAGACATAAGGGAGTTGACACACTTATACTTAATGCACAGAGAGATACACAGCTTCTATTTCCTCTCTATCCAAACATAATAGAGATCACAGAGGTTTGACTCCATCTTATTTCACTATCTGTGATACCAATAACTGCAACCCAACTGTAGTGCCTAGTGTGTAGGAAGTGCTCAACAATAATAGCTCCTCTCTTTTCCTGTCCCCTCTTATAACATCTTCATTTTTTATCCAAGATATTGGGATCTTTGTCTGAGCTATAAATTATTTCCTGCATTCTGAATGCAGAAGTTAAATTAGAAATGTTTGAACCAAAAACAATGGTACTATCTAATATGTCTCAACTTCATTCTCTTGCAAAAGTGCTCCTCGAAAATCATTCTAAGGCATTCATGATATGAGAGTTGGCTGGAAATACTGAATTCCTGTGACTGGTATCCTTCTTCCTCTATAGTCCCTAAGACAATGGCAGAAGCAAGGTGTTTGAGTACCTAAGAGAGTGTTTCCAAATTAGTGTGGTGAAGCTACAGATACATTGTGATCATGGCCCATTGGAGTCTGCAGCCCTGTGGATGACAGCCAATTAAATGTCAGCAAGCAGAACTGAGCAAATTTGGTACTGGTCATAAAACATTGTTATGACAACTGACAGGAACAAAAGCACTTTGAGGGTTTGGTAAATTAGCTTTTTGGTCACATAAATTCTGCCAAATATTATCAAGGCTATCCTGTGTTCAAGTTAACAAGATAACAAGATGCATAGACTTTTTTTCTGTTGAAAAGGCAATAACCTAAGCCAATCCAAGTAAAACTGAAGCCCCCAATAACACAACTTCATGTTGAAGAATTCAGGGCTGATTTGGACCCCAAAGTGCCCCTTCACAGGGTTTAGCATGAGAAGTACCAGAAGACCTGGTAGCATTCATACACTTATTCCACTGTTTTTGTTTTTAAATTTAGAAGGCAATACTTAAAAATTGTTAGAATAGATTTGACAATTAGTCAATTGTCTCACTATTAGGCCTACACAGATTCTTAAATAGTGATTAGTTCTTTGCCTATTAGAGTAATTGAGGAAATATACAGTGAAACAGTGTTTTTTAAAGAACAAACATGTGAAGTTTGAAAATAATTTTGTTCTATTGAAAATATGGATTCAAATATAGCTTTCTATAAGAAGTGTGTCAGGTAAGGTCAGGAAGAGGCTGCACTGAGCAGAAAGGAGAAGGGACTTTTGAGAAAGACACAGACCTTTCTTCAGCAAAGGTGGGTGGCACCATATGATGACTTACCCTTTTTCTGAAAAGACTTGACTTTTCTTTGTAAAATCTGGATAGAATGGAGACTCTAGAGACTGGGGACCTTTCAGCATTTTTCAGTTACACAAAGAATCACAGGAGGTACCTAAGTATAATTGGCTTGGTCAGCAATTCAATTAATCCTTTGCCTAATTGAACTGACTTGTGTTTCTCATTCATATGGCTGTTTTTGAAAAGACTATCTCATTTTCTATTTATTCTCTTATCTGCAATCATCAATTATTTGAATAAAACATCTTACATTGTTATAAATGTGCAAAAAAATATTTCCCCTTCCCATCCTTATAATTCTGCTTTTGCATACTCAGTTGGATGTTGAAGTTGTATTACATAGAAAGTCAGAACTAAAATTGTCCAGTTTTACCATTAACTCAACTGAAAAAAATATTTCAAATATTTTTAAAGTCTTTTATAAAAAAAAAATATTAACAAGAATAAGCATGGCTATCCTGGGACCCAACAAAGAGGTTGCATATCACTTTCTAAGGTCTGTCATAGGAGAAATGTGTTCAGGTCTGTGGCCTGAAATGAAAGAATGGTCCCTGAATCTGAAGAGCTGAATTCTCATCTTGATTCTCCAATTAATTGGCCTGTGATTTTTATTTTTATTTGTTTTACTTTGTTGGTACTGAGGATGGCCTCAGTAACCAGGGGGTCTCTACAATTAAGCTACATTCCCAGACCTTTTTATTTATTTATTTTTTTATTTTGAGATAGAGTCTTGTTAAATTGCCCAGGCTAGCCTTGAACTTGTAATCTTCCTGTCTCAGCTTCCCATGTAGTTGGGATTATAGACATGCAACACTATGCCCCGCTTGGCCTGTGAGTTTTAGACAAGTGAATTATCTTCAGGTATTTATTTTCTTACCAAAATTGTTGAAAATAATGTGATTTTTAAGATTTGTTTTAGTATGTGTAAGTACTGGTATGTTTATGATGAGAATTTTATTTTGATCAAAAAATAGTTAATTTCCCCCCAAATTTGCAATTGTTATCATTGGGTCCACATTGAGAGCTTTGCTGTTTTGCTCAGGGAGGAAAACTCCAGGGCAATTTTTTCTTAATTCTCTTCCTAAGAGTTGTTTACCTCATTTCCTTCCTTTTCCATTATGTTTTCTTAACTTTATTTCTACTTTGAAGTCTTTTAGAGTATATTTTTTTAAACATACTTCATCCCACTAATGCTGTTAAATCTAAAATAGCATTTTATTATTTTCATATAAAATTAATATTTTTTTTCAGTACACTGTTTCTGCTTTGTTTCAACTCTCTCACTTTGCCCTAAATTAGAGTATCTTCAGCAACCAAATATATTTTTGGTTACTAGTATTTTTCCTTGCTTTTTAAAAATTAATATCCACACAAATCCAGGAAGTTACTGGTATGACGAGTTATTTAAAAGTGCAGTTTTAAAAGCACAAAATGAGCTGAAACAATTTCTACATTTAGAATTAAATGTGTTTATAAAGACCCCTTCTTTCTTACTTAAAAGTTTTTCTATGACTCAGACTGAGAATAAAACACTATGCAATATTCTAGATCAAAACCCAGCTATTAGGTGGGGTCACCAATAGTTGATCAGTACTGTTTTAAATTGCTAGGTAAAAATGCATGTATAGAAATTTCAACAGAATTGTAACCCTATGTGCATCTGATATTTTTCTAGCCATAAGAACTCATGCAGTTTATGTTTGATGAAAAAAATGACAAATAAAGGACCAGGTTCTCTGTGGGTTTAAAGACAGTCATTGTGAATATCATTGTGCTCCCCTGTGTCTGTTATCATTTCTGGTTACCTGTGAGATTACACCAGGGAAACCTGCAGAATGAGTTCCCGCACAGGGCAGGAAGTAGGCGATACCAAAGGCCACCCTGGGCTGAAGGACTCCAGTCCACCAGGACTCCAGTCCACCCAAATGGTGGACCGTTTCCCTGAGTTATCTTTTGGTATTCTAAATATCGTGATTTTAAAAAATCTTCCATTCCATTGAAAATTTAAACTACCACTGAAAAATAGAGTCACTGAGTTCACTGTTACTTTCACAGTTATCTAATGTGTTGACTAGGCAAAACCTCAGTTCCTCTTCATTCTTCATAGTACTTTTCAAATTTCCACTTTTGATGTGGTTTGGTTGGGTCACAAGCAGCTACTTTAAGCATCTTCTGTGGAAAATTTCCTTCCAAGCACAACAACTGATGATAGTTTTCAAAAACAATGTGATTTACCTGGAAAGAAAGAAGATCTGGGAATGAGCCACAGACTGAACTTGACAATAAAGATTTATATATATATATATATATATATATATATATATATATATATATATGATCCTAACATGCCTCCAAAAAGATGAGCAACTACATTTTTGATTTCTAAGGAATTCTCCTAAACTAAATTAATAACATAAACATGGGTTTGGAAGTATTAGTTTGTTTTGTCTCAAACTAAGTTTCATTTTCTCCAAGCTGTGAGATTATTAATTTGGGGGTAGCAAAAGATGAATTTTCTAATGATATGGCTAATAACTGTAGGATTTAAAGCATAAAAAAATCAAGATGTCACTAGGCACAGTGGTGCACCCCTGTAATCCCAGTGGCTCAGGAAGCTGAGGCAGGAAAACAGTGAGTTGAAAGCCAGCCTCAGCAAAAGCAAGGCACTAAGCAACTCAGTGAGACCCTGTCTCTAAAGAAAATGCAGAAATAGGGCTGGGGATGTAGCTCAGTGGTCGAGTGCCTCTGAGTTCAATCCCCGGTACCCACCCTCCCAATCCAGATGTCATTTAATGTATTTGACAGATGATGACTACCTCATTGGTGTTGGTAATAAAAAAAAAAAAAAAAAAAAAACATGCCATGACAGAGAATGAGTTCATTAATTTCTTAATTAAATTCATGTTTAGAATATATATATTCTCAATTATATATATATATTATATATATAATACATATATATTATAATCTGTATTACAGAATGCCAGAAATGATGTATTTTATTTATGATCTCCTAACCATAATTTCTGATAGTACATAGTGCCTGATGTCTAGAATCCACTGCCGTATTTTAAAAGTATGAAGCTTGAAAATGCCCAAGGTTTGTAAAACAGTTGGCCTTGAAGAAAATCATTATGGATTGTTTACAGCATTCACCCAGTAATTAAGTCACTTGTTCCCAGCTTAAAGTCACTCAATAGAAACCAGTGGTGGAAAAGCACTCCATGGCCAAGTCTTCCACTTATGACACTAATTATTTTAGGATGGTTGAAATCCAGAGCACTTGAGGAGGGCTGACCTGGGAAGCACCTTTTAAATGTAGATTCAGACATATCTAATTTTAATAATCCATTGTTGTCTGGGATCAGACTCACTACTCCACTTCCTTCCTCCATTAGGAGGTGCTGGAACCTTTGAGAGGTGGGGCTCAGTGGAGCTCCATAAATCATTCTGGGCATGTCCTCCAAGAAAACTGTGGGATCCTGGCCTCTTCCTTTTTTTTTTTTTTTTGCTTCACCACACACTCCTGCTACTGTGTGTAGCTCTGCCACACTGGCCCACAGCAACAACAAGGCTGACTGATCATGGACTATTATCTCCCAAAATGTGAGCAAAATAAACCTTTCTCTTTATAATTTGATTATCTAAATAATTTTGCTATACTGGTGGACAGCTGGCTAATACAGGGACTTAGGAGGTATAATATGAAAACTACCAAAAAAACTGAAAAGAGAAGAAAGACCATGACCAGATATTGGTCTCCATGAACATCTAGTAACATCAAAAGGGACACAAGACAGCAAGCAGCTATGTAGAATGAAACAAAGTCACAGGTACAAACAAGTTTGGGGGGCAGTTTTCTAGGCGTTTTTGTTTGTTTGTACCAGGAATTGAACCCTGGGGGGATTTTACCACTATGCTACATTCCCCAACCTTTTTAAAAATATATATATATTTACTTTGAGACAGTGTCTCACTAAGTTGGTTAGAGTCTTGCTAAATTGCAAACGCTGACTTTGAACTTGTGATCCTCTGGCCTCAGTCTCTTGAGTTACTGGGATTATGAGCTTTCTAGTTTTTGGTATCTTAATTAAATTATCTTCTTTACCAAATCAACTGTTTAGAAAACTCTACCACTAAATACCTTCTTACAGAAATCTATTCCAACATTCAATTCTGGAGATGAAATATGTATTGTGCTTCTTATTGTCTTACTCTTTCCTTCTCTTTCTCTACCTTCCTTATTTTCTTCCTCCCTCCTTTAGCACAGGGTTAAAGAAGGAGAAGGTAAAGTATAATTTATTCACTAGATATTTATGGATTTCTTAAACTGTATGCAAAACAAAATTAGCAGCTTATACACTAGCAATTCCTATTTTTTTCTGAACAAATTGATAATAATAATTATCATTAAAGAGAAAAATGTTCAGGAGGATTAATATATAGTAGAGAACACTTTGGGGGCAGCTCTGGGAAGAATAATAGTTTTCATGTAACCAATGCGTACAGTGGATTTGGTGACTATCTGCAAGTGAAATGGTAGAAAATTTGAGAAGGCAGTCCTGAGATTATTCCTGCTATTTCAAGGTCCTACATGACTTTGTATCGTGTTAAAATACAACTGGGAAAAACTGGGCAGACTTTGGGAATGAATACAGTAGAACAGGCACATTTTGATACATATTAACCATTAGACCTCTTGAAAAATATTCCCTGATCCAGTAGCATCTATCTGCTAATTTCTATGGTGTAAAGATGCTCTTCACGGCTGTTTTCAAGCTATCAGTGTGATATCACTGAGCACATAGTTGGTAAAAGATGCACACAATGGACTTCTATAGCAGAGTGAGAGCTGGTTCCAGCACTCCTCTGAGGGCCCAGGTCTCTGGGAACCACAGAGGCTGAGAAAACATCTCCTTGTATGGAAAGAGGGCAGGATAAGTAACTAGAATCATTCTGAAGAGCAGGGTATACAGTAAGCACATAGCTTCTTGCTTTTTCCTTATACTCTCCCTATATGCTTTTCTGACAACCAATTTTTGGGTTATAACCCTTGCTTTTGGCATTGTTGACTGAATGAAGCAAATTACTTTTAGAAAGATGTAGCAATATAACCAAGAACTCAGTGACTTTTATTGAAAAATTATTCATTTAAAATAAATTTTGAAAAAGAAAAAAAAGACAATAATTTACAAAATGTTTCTTTCTCTGAGTAGAATGGAGATCAATATCTGCCTCCATTGACACAAACACATTTAAAGCTTCCAAATGAGGATACTGACAATGAGGGTTTTATGACCCGTTGATTGAAAGTTAAATTTCTGGCAAAGAAGAGGTACATATATTTTGCTTACCAGTTCTGGATGAAAGACAGAGGTGGATTTATGCAGCCATTTTAGCCCTTTGTTTTTGTTATCACAGGGGTGCAGCATCAGGGATCCCTCATCAGGGATGGGGGCCAAACACCATCCTTTATGTTTAATTAGTCTTAACCAGGTGTAATTAAATTGTTGAAACTGGAGAGGAAATTAATATAGAGAAGGTCACTTCAGGCAGCAAACATAGATAGTGGTTTTGTCAAACATTTTTGTTAGTAATAGCTAAGAATATAGGCGATATGATCTGATGATTTACATTCAAATCCCAGTGCTACCACTCTCAATTCTGATAGTATGGGCACATTATTTACCCAGTCTAATCTCATTTTTGTAACTTTTTAACTTGGATAGCAAATGCATCTATGCCAGAGGGTTAGAGTAATGACCATTGAGTTTCTAGCATACAATAAGTCTGCAATAAATGTTAATTATAACTTAAAAACTGATGAGTACAATTAGTACCTATCCACATATGAATGTTGTTTTAGGTGTTCTGAATCCCAGACAACACTAGGGCTTGAAGAGTGATTAAGTTTCCAAGCCATAAGTAGTTTGAGGGAGATCCTAGTCACAGCCTTCAGTTTCTTTGGTGGAAATTGTTATGCTTTCTTGATTCAGACTATCTAGACAAATGGACTCCTAAAGGCTTCATTCTGCTATAGGAAAGGTTTAGATCTTTCTCAGCTGATAGTACAAGGAAACATCAGGTTGCTGTTATGTTAGCATGCCCCAGTTCATAGAAACTGCTCTCAGAGAAATCTAGTTTTGGAGAGTTGACATTGTCTAAAATAAATTCTGATTCAGGCAATGGAACCATGTTTTCAGTCCTTAAAAACATTTTCTACAGTTGTTTAAAATCTAATATTATCTGCCTGGTCGTTTTACTCTAAGAGTAAAAATATTTGGAAAAAAAATAAAACTTCTGGTAAAATCTATCTAATTGTTTTACCTAATAAATCATTTTCAGTCTAACTAAGATTTAATTCAGATTATCAGGTTAAATTAAAGCCAACGTGTTGAATCTTATGACTCAATTTGTATTCCCTAGACAAACATTAGCATCATTTGGGAGTTAGTTGGAAATGATGAATCTCAGCCCCACCATGGACCCACTGAATCCAGATCTGCATGAATAAACTCCCCTCATAATTTATGTGGACATTAAAATTGGGAAGAGTATGGAAAAACCACATCACCAAAGGAGGTTATATGAATACAAAGATAAGTATATTACCTAAAAAAGGAACATCTTAACTGGTTTAGAAGTTAAAACTAAGGAGACTTTTTTGGTAAGGTAAAGGATAGGTTTAAATACTCCCATCTGAGGAATTTATTCCTTTTGAGCTCTTTTGGATGACTTCTATAGTCATGGGCTTGGTATTAAGCTTTAGTTTTTTCTGATAAATTATAACTTGCTCTATGTTCCTGTCCCTTTTATTACTTTAGCAAACCATAAGAGGGAAAAGCTAAAAATGAACAACCAGATGAAAAGGAAGTTGGGGTTTATGGAAGGTGACATAATTAATACTTTGATCTCCTACTTTGCCTTGTAGAGACTCAATGTTTTCAAGAACAGAAGCTGGTAGTGGTAGAACACTTGCATAGCATGCACAGGGCCTGGTTTCAATTCCCAGTAACCACAAAAGAACAGAAATTGGGGTTTCAGATGAAATAATGGTTACTCAAGCACAATAAACACAATAAGTACCTACAATGATGAGTCTTGAAGAAGTGCATTATTCAATATTCTTATATGATGTAGACTAATTGTGGGGTTTTTTTGTTTTATAATTTATGATTTTGTTTTTCCTCCTCTAATTTTTAATAAGCAAAATTTATTTCTTTCAATTGATTCTTTTTGACACTTTCCACTTCCCTCTGTCTTCTCTTTCCTAATTAAGAAACACTTCTCTTGGTTTTGTGTCTACAGATTATAAGTGAATTAAAGCATAGATACATTTTCTTCTATTAACAGCTTTGAATTAAGAGGTAGAGATGGGATGTGCTTGAAAATGTAAGCAATGTCTCAAAGTCAAAGTAAAGAAGCAAGATTTAGTAAACCTAGACTATCACTGCAAAATATTTTTTTTTCAGCAAAGAGTGATTTGCAAATTGGGGGGCTGATTTCTACTCATGAATCTGTTCCTGTGAGTCCTATTTGGCATCCAAACCAGATAACTACTCCCACAGAAGGTAGAACTGTGAGGGAACATATGTTGGAGAGGGAGGTGTGATCTCTCAGATCACCTCCAACACGGCAGGAGCCATCCCTGTTCTATTTCCCCTGGTCCTGCTCCCTCTCCTAAGCATTCTGCTCTGAGTTTGTGGGAGTTTGTGGGAGTTTGGCTGCAGGGTTTCCATCATGGATTGTAGATTGTGTGAAATCCATGATTCCCTTAAAATGCTGGAATGATTACTTAAAATTATGTACTCTATTTTCTCTATTATTTTATCCTCATATGCTTAAAAATATTTTTTGCTTTTATTATTGTTGAAGAATTAACAGAGCACTAGCATTAGTTACTGCATGTTTCCTGTGTGTTACCTAATTCCAGTCTCACCCCCAGAAGCAAGGACTGTTTTCCCAAAGGTTAAAGAACATGTGCAGGTGAACCCATTCTTGCAAGGGAAGGGCCCAGGAGCCAGTCCGTGGACTTCAGTACCCACTCCTTCACTTCCTCAGTCACTGACTTTGCATTTAGGGGTGGACTATCTTACAAAGGCCTCAGGATTATAGAGAAATTTAGAGACTGGAGCCAGTCCTTGGACTTCAGTACCCACTCCTTTACTTCCTCAGTCATTGACTTTGCATTTAGGGGTGGACAATCTTACAAAGGCCTTAGGATTATAGAGAAATTTAGAGACTGGTTCTGGACTTCTATTGGTTGAAGTTACATTTCTCAAGTTTGCAATGAGTGTGTCAAACATGGTACCTATCCACTATCATGAGATAGAAACCCCCAGCTAGGCATACCTGGCTGCTCCCATCACAGTCTTCCAGGATGGCTGTGGTGTTTTCAATGGAAACACATTTACCCAAGGCCACATTAATAAGCTAGGAAGGAAAATATAAAATATGAATTAAGGAAAAATATTTCAAAGTAGAACACAGCATTCAGGCATGTTTAGAAGACACTGAATATAAAACTATAATAAGGTTAAAAGATAGTTAAATTAATAGCTTAGTATTACTTAGCACTATATGATTTTATTGGTGGCTAGCTCTAACAGAGACATAATGTAATCTTGCTTCAATCTGTCAATTTAGGCCCGCAATTCAGTCACAGAGCCAGCAAACAGAAGCTTTTAATTAACCCTTTCTTGGAATGCCAAATGACAAATGAAGAAAAGGTGGCATGGAAAATAGTTATTTTCTTGTCTCGAGTTTATCTGATGCATATATTAAAAGTCAATGCACATACTTGCAATTTAATCAAATCAAGAGTCGTGGGCTATGTTCCTTGGCTGACCCTCTGAGCTATCTGGCTGCTTAGGCACTGAATCATAGATAAATTGAGTCCTTCAAAGAACAGCAGATTCCAGCTGATTCCCTGTCAGAATCTGTCTAATGACTCAAGCAAGCTACAATTCATTATAGGAAAAGTCACGAAAGCTAATATAGAGCCAAGCATAAAGGCACTTTCTGGCAGGCCCCCAGGTTTTTAATGGATTTGCAGGGTCAAATATGGAGGTAGCTTTCTATCAGTCACCATTTAATGCAGAAAAATGTTGATTCCCTTACCCTCTTTGACATCCTGGGGAAAGCTAACGAGAAGGTAGGTTAATAATGCAATTTAGGCCTTTCAGATTTCTGAAAGAGCAGCATAGAGCTGAATCTATATTATACGAAACAGGAAAGCCTCCTGAGCTGGGAGGTGGTAAGGGCTTTGTTGCTGATGACACTGTTTTTGCACCTTCCTGTTTTATGGAACTCCAACTCTGGTGCTGCGTTGAAGCAGGTGGCATAGCTCATCCGGTTGCCAGACTTCCTAACTAGGGGCCCCTGTGGGGTTGGTCCCACTTTTGCATGCATAGATTAGCTTGCAGAAAAGAGTCAGCCTCAGGAAATGAGGAGTAAAATAGAAGCAGGAGAGAACTGCAACCTTGGTGTGCCAGGAACATGCCCCCTCATAAAGATATGAGAAAAACTTGGGCATGCATAAGCCCAGATTGGAATGAGGTCTTCCAGAGAAAGTTGGAAAAGGAAGGACCCTCAGTGAGATGGTGTACTAGGAAAAACAATTTACCCATTGGTACTGAAATCTAAGTTCTCCCTGGAAATCTGAAACCATACACTGACCTTTGTTTTGTTTTGGAAGAGAATTTGTACCATTTTCATTGGATAGGAAACCTTACATACTTTCAAGGCATAGAAACAAACAATAAAAAACAGTAACAGGTTGGTTACTTCTGAGGTGTCTGGCAAATAAAAACACAAATCAACTCCAGAGGATGAGTCTCCATCAAATATCCTCAAGGAAAGTTCTATCCACAATTTACAATGACCAGAATGGGAATAGAAAATCCACCATTAGCAAATGAGAGCAGCCACAGCACACAGAAAGATCCAACTAACTTCTGGAGGATGGTCAGTAGAAGTATGTGAACGAAGAATAATCCTGGAGTTTAAAGAGGGCCAATCATGCCCAGGATCTGGGCAGAGATGTAAGAGCCTATATTTGTGGATCAGGAAGCAAATATTCCAAATTCCAACAGTTTTGGGAATCTGGTTCCAGCACAGCTGAACCTTCTCCAGAACTTCTCAGAACCTTCTAGGTGTTGGTGCTCAGCTTGCTGCTCCGAATGTAATCAGTGCTCCTCAGATTTACTGGACTGGGGAGCCTGTTCCAGCACAGCTGTCACTTCTGGAAATGCTGTTTGAGAACCCCTGGCTTAACTGAGTCCTTTGTGTTTATTTCATACAATTCCTTCCTTCCGGCACAGAAATGCAATGGAGGGAAAGGGAAATCTGCTCTGTGCCTTATGTCTTGCTTCTTTTCTTTATCTGAATTTCTCTTTCTTTCCCTTCTAATCAGAAATTCCTGGGGAAACAATTTTTCTTCTTAAAGAAATGACCTATGAAGTGCTAAGGAATGGTTATTCTTCACTTCATTATGAAAGGTTTTAATGTTTTTTTTTTTAATTTTAAAGCAGTTTATCCAAAATCAGGTCGTGCATAGATTTTAAACTTTCCGTGTAGAATAATTTTATTTTCTAGTTCAGGAGGTGGGAATTCCCCAGTTTATTACAGAATTGTTAAACTTTAGGCTATAGGCAGTTTGCCACAATGTAATCCTGTGGAAAAACATAATGCTGGTGAGGTTCTTGTATTAGTCTCAGATATTTTTAGTTCAAAAAGAAATTATTTGTTTTTATTTTTTTTAAATCCAAAAGAAATTTCACTGGATTTAAATTCCCAAGTGTGTAGGTTAAAAGACAGGAAAACATGGAGTAAGTAACAAAAACATGTGGTGGAGTTGACTTTTTTTTTAATTTAAGTTGTTAAGATTGTTTATCCCAAATAAAGGTCAAGTTGATCTTATTTTGAATTTCCCGGAAAAAAAGGTCCTAATTTTTTTTGTGGATAATGATAGTACTCCCTCCTGGTTTCTTCAGAAGGTAGCAAATATTGTCTTTACTAAAATTTATCTAAGAAAAACAACAAACAAATAAGGAAATAGCAGGAAGAGCTCTGTTAAAATATTTTTTAGAATACTGCAGCATTTTTATGGAGTACATTCATCAGCAGAGGCAATTTCTTTACGGGAGATTTTCAAAAATTTGGTAGGAATGCTTAAGTTAGTGTCACAGCTGAGCCAAAAGGTAGTTTTATAGCCCCCTCTGGTGGCTAAAATTGAGTAATGATATTGCAGAGATTCTGTTAGGAAAAGAAAAATTCTCTATGGTGAGAATTCTAATTTTTTTCCCCTGTTTTAGGTATTAAATTTAAAAATATAAATTTTATTGTATGGATATGTTTGACATGTTATATTTTTTAGTTACCTAGGGTATAATATCAGGTTGAGACACCTGAGGTAGCTGCTATTCTGATCTAAAAATGGGAGACTTTAGAGTACAATATGTTATATATAAACCGGTCATATATATTTATTTATTAGTTGAATTTATAAATCAGAATGAATTTGCAAGCTAGTTTCTGTCTTTAACATTCTTCCCGAAGTTTCCTAATATGGTTAATGGAATGTCTTAAGTTCTTGTTATCAGATTTGCCAGGTGGGGAGAGTGGTTGGTTTGTAATGATCTACTTTCTGGCAAGAAATGAAAAAAATGGCCTGAAAGAGTAGGCTTACTCATGATTTAGTTTGAGAACTTCTTGGATGGAAAAAAAAAAGACACTCTGAAAGAACACTAAAAAATGCTGGAAATATTTATAAGTAAATAAGAAATAAAACAAAAGTGATTACAAATAAACCTGACACAGGAAGAGCTCTATCTAGGTGGCAGCTTGACCAACCATCCTTATGCCCATTCTATGTTAGATGGCCCTATGTCCTACCATTCCCAGAACAGGTTTGGAATGGCTTCCTCCCAGGCTCTCCCCCTACTTGACCCTCTTAGTTTTGCACTCTGTTCAACCTATATGATTTTCTTTCCTTTTTGTACCTCTCCTTATGTCCTGAAATTTTGTTATTTTCTGATAGTTCTGTTATTTTAAATCCCTTTTTGAAACTTAAAAAAATCCCAATTAAATTTTATCTCTTTGTTTAACTCTGCTCAACAAATTCATGTTATATTTTTGGAGAGATAGAAATAGAGAAATAGGGATAGAGAGGAAGATAGGGAGGGAAGGAAAGGAAATCCTAACTCTCCCTGCAAGGACCTGTGTGATCTAATCTCTCTGCACCTTCCTCTGGTACCATTCCCTCCTTCACACCCTGACAACAACAGTCTTTTTCCCAGTTCTCAAGTGCCCTCAGTTTTCACCTGCCTTAGAGTTCTGCATGAGCGGCACCCTCTTCCTAGCCCTCTTTTTTAGATCTTGGTTGATGCTTTGTGTTTCAGGCCTTGGTTTCAAAGTCTTTTCCTCAGAAAGGATTTCTTGGCCACAGTAACTTAGAATTCATCACCTATACCCTAAATGAGAGTTATGTTTTGTTTTGAACTTACTGTTTATTATCTTTTTTTCCTATTCAACATTTCAACTTAAAGGGTTTTATTTGAGGTGGGGAGTACTGGAAATAGAATTCAGGGCACTCACCCACTGATTCTCATCACCAGCCCTGTTTTGTATTTTATTTAGAGACAGGGTCTCACTGAGTTGCTTAGCACCTCTCTTTTGCTGAGGCTGGCTTTGAACTCGAGATCCTCCTACCTCAGCTTCCAGAGCCACTGGGATTAGAGGTGTGTGCCACCACGCCCGGCTCAACTTTAAGTTTTAAAGGAAGGAATGGAGTCTACTTTGTTTATCATCCAGTTCTAAAATGCAGCCTTGTCTCCTGACACACAACAGGAATCTGTTGAATCAATCAATGCATATGGCTTCCTTCCTCAAGTTTAGCCACGTTTAATTCTCGGCTATGCCTTGTCTTATGGCAATTCATAGTGTGTGTTTATTTATGGTGTAACACGATAAATCATTCTTTCCCACGCATTTTTGAAGCATTTTTGTACCACTTTTGCACAGTTAAGAATTTAAATTGTCATGTGAACTTACCACACCACTAGCTCTCACAATGGGAGCCTTCAAATCTGGAAAGACATTCTCCAAGTACCATTTGAAACTTTTACATTTCAGTTTCTTTCGAAGCTCCCTCTGCTGGGTGAGGTTGCCCACCTCAAGCTCTTGGTCTATAAGGTGATCCCCGTGGCCATAGAACAACTCCTTGTACTCATCAAGCCAGACCTCAGCCACCCGCACCAAGTTCCGCTCCACGGTCTTCATGCGGTCTTTGGGGAAGGAATATGGATTGTCATTTCTGAATATGTGGCCCACTCGGGAGCAAGGAATGATCTCAATTTCTCCACCACACATCCATACCTGGAATAATTTAAAGATAGGCTTCAATTATGAAAAGATTGTTTAAAATCATGGGCAATTAATGACAAGGAGCCACCTGGAGGTTTTGTTTCTACCAGCTTGAAGTCAAGAAAACACTCTGGTGTTTTCTGAAACTAAGCAGGGTTTATTTAGTTTTATATATTGCGATGTGGACCATTTGATGATTACTAAGATAAAATTTTTTTCTTAACTTGCAATGTAAACTTCTTTTCCTAAAAAAAAAAAAAAAATGCTTCACAGAATGCCAATGTATAAAGCATGAACAATGTGACTATAAATATCAAATGTATAAAATGTGAGTTCCTGTTTTGGTTGAATCATGGAGATGTAAATGGATGTCCATTTATTCACCTTCCCCTTGTTTTTTCTTTTTTAAATTTTTATCTTTTCTCTACATTTTTTATTGGTGCATTATAGTTGTACATAATGGTGTGATTGTTGTTACCTATTAGTATGTGCACCCAATATAATAATAGAATTTGGTCAACATCCCTCCCTAGCATTCCCCACCCCTCCACCCACCCTCTAGTCCCTTTCTCCTATTCTATTGATCTCCCTTTGCTTTTTGCCATCACTCCCACCTTTCTCTTCCTTTTTCATCTCTAGCTTTAACATACTCTCCTTCTCTTATCCTATGGAGATCCTGGGTCACAATTAAACACTATTCTTGATCAGGAGCTCCAAAGTCCCACCCCTTTTATAATAAATCACCAACCCAACAGAAAAGCAGCTGCCTTTCGACACTTTATAATTGCTGTTGCTAAGGCTTTCTTGGGTGTTAATTTTGCAACAGTGATTGATTTTTTCCAAATTCAATCTGAGATATGAGAAAATTAATCCAACGACCCTAAAATTCCTGTGAAATTTCCTCCTAGTGTGTTACATATTTGATCATATTAATAAAATGAAAACATGTAAAATGATAAGCTCTTAATTGTAAAGAAAATTTAATTAACAAATTTGATAATAAACTTTAATAAATAAATTTGGTAATACCTTAAATGAGAGCTCCATATTTTCTCCACCCCAAACATCAAGTCCAGGGTCATAGGTTCCAAGTTCAAAAAAGTAATTTTTATCAATAGAAAATAATCCACCTGCCATGACAGGGCACCTATAAAAATGAAAATATTGCTTTTCAGAGTTGGTCCTTTGTATGTTTGCATTAGAGTTAGAGATGTTTCTGAGTAGTCACAAAGTATAGGGCGGTCTCAGGATGGAGTCACAAATAGTGCTTGGGAGATGAGTTCTCTGGTTCATGGTGCAAGGCTTGATTAGTTCAGCAAAGATGTGGCCTGGAAGTAGGATTATTCTTTGTTATTTAAACTGTGACATAAACTCTCCAGGGATATAATTTTTAATATTTACTTAGGGTTAACTAGTACCAGGCACTATTGTATTATCTGTGTATTAACTTAAAATTCCCCCAAATCCTGCAAATTTGTACCATTATTAAGAAACCACAATGCAGAGAAGGTAAGAAACTTTTCCAAGGATGACAGACAAGTATGATGTACATCTCAGGTGCACACTAAGGCAATATGGCTGGCTGCTGTGCTCTGTGACTGTACGGTACTGCCTCTCAACCACGTGTGAGGCTGATTGACAGCTTGTTCTGTGGCAATCACTGCTTAATGCAGTTTATATATACACACATATGTATATAATCAGATTAATTTTCAAAATGATATAAGCAGTAGGCACTTCTATTAATCTTCACATAGAAACAAGGAAACAGATTCAAAGTGGTTAAGTGAGCTATAAAAAGCTCATACTACTATAAGTGGTAGAGATGAAATTCAAACCCAAACAGTCAGACTCCAGAGCCTTGGGGGACAGAAGTGATATTTTAGTCAGCAGGTAGACAAGGCAGTTACCACATCCCATGGTGGTTTCCACTGAGCAAGCTGAAAGTGGGAGAAGACACAGGAAGCCTTCATTTGGCTTCAGGTCTAAGCTCTGTTTTCAATCCAGCTTCTTAGTAATAAAGTCCAAATTTCAATTCATATTGAGCTTCTGTGTCTATTTCTTAATTTATTAACAGAATTTGGCGACTGTTTCATGGAGGAAGTAGGATTACACTATGAAAGAAATCTTACTATAGCTACTATAGTGATATCTCTATGACTATTATTTATCTTTTTTAAATTTTTACTCACACTTACTTTAATATTATGTGTGTTATGTAGCATATTCCATGAGTTTGTGTTTCTCACATTGTAATCCAAGGAAACAGGAATAGTATCAAATGGACTTCTCTAGGCTTATGGCTGGATAGGGTACGATTAAACATGTAAAAAGGAGTATTAATACTCGGAAACTAATTTCTCAGGAAAATCTGTGTGCTTTGGTAATGTATTGTAAAGACCCGAAGTTCTTGAGTTTTATAGAAAAATAGATTACAGTTATTTTGTAAAATTTTTTTACATACCTTTACAAAAATACATATGTCTGCTTCTTTGTCTTAAATTTCACACACTTACCTTATTATGTCAGTTTCTTTGATTTTGTTTTTTGCAACGACATCTGGAGGAATTGTTTTCCAACCAAAGTTCATGGGCCATACAAAGATACCTCTTTGAAAGTTGTCCACTGTCATATAACTAATCCAGGAAAACAAAAACAAAACCAAAAATGTGTGACCTGAGATTAGATGCAGCCTATATAATTCATCAACTTGGCTCCAAGACTTATTCAGGTATGTAACAGGTGCTTTTACAGGTCATTTTAGATCTTTATCTTTTAGTAGCAATTCAAGAAAATTTATAATTTGTACTGATGATAAACTAACCAGATTGCTTGCATTTAAATTTTATTTTACTTTTAATAATCCCCTAGCCATTTTGGAGGAAGAAACAATAACTTATATACACATATATATTTCCTGGAAAAGGAAGGATTAAACTTGAGGAAAATATTTTGGAGTTCAGCTGGATTTAAAGGGGAATCTATTAAATAATGAGTAGTAGGATTTATTGGTATTTAGGGTGTTATGATATAAGGTTTAGATATGAGGTGTCCCCCAAAATGACTCATGTGTAAGACAATGCAAGAAGGTTTAGAGGTGAAATGTTTGGTTATGAGAGACTTAACCCAATCGGTGCATTAATTCCTTGATAGGGATTACCTGAGTGGTAACTGAAGGTGGGTAGGGTGTGACTGGAGGAGTTGGGTCATTGGGGGTATGCCTTTGGGATATATATTTTGTATCTGTTAAGTGCAGACTCTCTCTCTCTCTCTGTGTCTCTTCTGCACTCTCTCCCTGCCCCCGCCCCCGGCTTCCTGATTGTCATATCCAGAGCTGCTTCTCTCTGCCACACTCTTCTGCCGTGGGGTTCTGTCTCATCTCTAGACCTGAGGAATGGAGCTCACCAACTGTGAACAGAGACCTCTGAAACTATGAGCTCCCAAATAAAGTTTTCCTCCGAAAAATTATTCTTGTTTTGTCTTTTAGTCACAGCAGCAAAAAAAAAAAAGGTAACTAAAACAGGGTTAACTTAAACTTGTTAGGTTTACCAAAGAGATTATTGGACTGACTGGTTCTGATCCTAAGATACTATCATATATTCTCATTTATTTGAATAGATAAACTGTGTGTTTCTTAGATTTTCAAAAATGCATATTTAGGAGCAGAACTTTCTGCTGTGTGGGCAAAGATGCACTTGGACATATGTATGGAAAATTACCTCATATCCTTGTCATTGATGACTTCAATTACTGGACAGGCCACTTTCTTTCTACTTAAATAAACCCTTTCCAGGAGAGGTTCCAACCAACCAACATTACATTCCACATGAGAATCTAGGAACGTCAACACATCACCTAGAGAATAAAAATATAAAATTTAATACATATATATATATATGTTCATATATATGTAATTTGAAAATATGATCTACTAAGTGCATATAGGTCAGAGGTGCTGAGGACTTTTCCAGAAATGTAGATGTGAGATGTAGTCTTTTATTCTCCCTGAATGCCTTGTCCCTGTAACTTCTTTTCATAACCATATGAAAGAACTTGGTTCATAAGAGTTTTGTGGGCCAAGCATTAACTGCCTTTGGAAAAAAATTGAAAGCCACTTAAAATGAGCAGCAAGTCTCCAAAGAGAACACTCAGCATTAAGGATAGCTGCTAAAGTACCTTCTACGAAAGTTTGGTACCATTACTTCTTGGGGTGGTGGTTGTGAGAGTTTGCTTTTCAGAAGACTAGAAAGATTTTGACATGATGGGTTTGGCCATAGGAATGATGGAGAAAAATCATCTCATCTCTAGACCTGAGGAATGGAGCTCACCAACTATGAACAGAGACCTCTGAAACTATGAGCTCCCAAATAAAGTTTTCCTCCAAAAAATTATTCTTGTTTTGTCTTTTAGTCACAACAGCAAAAAAAAAAAAAAAAAAAAAAGGTAACTAAAACAGGGTTAACTTAAACTTGTTAGGTTTACCAAAGAGATTATTTCTTTTCACATAATAGAGGTGAAAAGAAACTAAAGTGGAGGATCCAGCAAGACTGGGAAGTACTTTTAAATGAATTGCTGGAAAGGGGAGCAGGGTGTAGGGAGTTGTTGTTTAAGGGTATGGAGTTTTGCTTTTTCACCATGAAAAGAGCTCATGTTCATGCAGATGAGTGAATATACATAAACTACTGAACTAAACACTGAAAAATGGTTAAGATGACATATTTTATATTATGTATATTTTATCACAAGTAAAAAAAAGAGTTTTCAGAGAAAAAAAAAGAAAGAAAAAACTTGAAAGATGAAAGTATTTGTAAGAATTCTTTATTTTCCTACTGTTGGTTGTATGAAGTGACACTCTCCCTCCAACAATATCTGAGTAGCATATACAATGCTTTAAATGATTTTATGTAAGTTTGCTATATACATGTGTGTGAATGTAGGGTCAACCAGAATATGAGGCCCCAATCTCTTATGTAATCTCCCAGGCCCAATCACAGATAATTAATGAAAACTTTACCTGGCAGGCATTGGGAGGGAAAGTCGCCTTCCCATCTAGACGTGGCACCCAGCCAATGCACTGCAGTCTCTAACTGGAATTGGGCTTCCCTACCTCCTGCTGGACTTGCTCTTATGTGTATTTGTATCACTAACCCAGGTTCTTGCATCCAGAGGTCTTTCTCATGCCAAAGCCCCTATGAAGAGAGCCTTATGGGAGGTGGATTGGGTCTTGAATACATTTTTCTCTACCCTCACTCAGATTTTGGTGCTCCCTGGTTTCTTGCCATTCCTATCTCTCACCGTGGCCCCAAAAGCTTTGGAACAGGAGGAGCATTTTGTTTTGGGCTCTGCTCTGATCCAACATCCAGCACCATCCCTAGAGAAAAAAATGCAGGATTGCAGAAACCAACTCTTTCTCCTGTTTGGCATTTAACTGATACTGTTGTAGTAAATGATTAAGGCTTGACTGTTCTTTTCATTTTGGCTTATTATTTTCATGGACCACTCTAATAATCAGCTGCTCAGCTAACATTGATTACCATCTATAAGTGCTTATTCTCTGTCAGACTCTGTTCTAAGCATATGGGTTTGATTTTTATTCCCATTTAAAAGAAAAAGAAATTAAGGAACCAAGGACTTAGGTAAGTTTTCCAAGGTTGCATAGCCAATTAATGCTAATCTGATATTAGAAAATTGGTAGCTCATTTCATAGCCTGTGTTCCTTAAAAAACAAACAAACAAATAAACAAAGCCAGAAAGAGGCAGAACTTTGAATGAATATGGGAAGCCTTAATAAATAAAGTAAGAATAGTTACTTCAATGATAGATTATTATTATTAATCTACAAACTATCTATCAATGACATTCAGTATCATATTGTGATGGTTTAGATATAAAAATGTCCCCCAAAACTCATTTGTAAGACAATACAAAAAAGTTTACAGGTGAGATGATCGAGTTGTAAGAGCTTTAATCCAAACAGTGCATTAATCCACGATAGGAATTAAATGGGTGGTAACTGTAGGCAGGTAGATTGTAGCAGGAGGAGACAGGTCACTGGGTTGTGCCTTTGGAGTTTATATTTTACCCCTAGTGAACAGAGCTCTCTCTCTGCTTCCATGTCCTGAGTGCTTTCTATTCTGTCATGTATGAAGTGACACCCTCCCTCCAACAATATCTGAGTAGCATGCACAATGCTTTAAATGATTTTAAAGTTTTTGTCTTACCTCAAACCCAGAGCAACAGAATCAGTCATCTAAAGACTAAGGCCTCTGAAACCATGAGCACCAAACAAACTTTTCCTCTTTTAAAATTGTTCTTATCGGGTCTTTTGGTCACAGCAAGAAAAAAAAAATCTGACCAAACACATATTAATCACTTGGTCACCAACAGATTTTTGCATGAGGGTAAAGTGATCAATTTTATCCCACTATTATAGGCAGAAGCCTCCCTGATATCTGCCTGCTCCTGAATATGGCAGTTACATTTCCCAATCATGCTCTATGAGTCTTATTTTAGGGCATTTCAGCTTATTTGATAATGGAAGATTATTGCTCCTGCTCTGGCCTGAATGTATTTGCACTACCGAATTCATATGTTAAAATCAACTTTAATTCCAAGGTCTGGCATTTAAGGGGGGGGGGCTTAGAAAGTCATGATGGGACCCTCTGGAATGGGATTTTATAAGTGCCCTTATAAAAGTTGTCCATGGGAGTTAGTCTCCTTTGCCTTTCCAGCATGTGAGGACACGGCAACTTTGAAGCAGAGAATGAGACTCTCTAGACACTGAATCTGTTGGCAACTTGATCTTGGACTTTTCAGCCTCTGGACCTAAAAGGAATAAATGTGTGCTGCTTACAAAATTACACTGTTCAAGGTATTCTGCTGTTCCAGTTGGAATACATCCCCTAACCATGTCATCTTGTACAGCCTTCTCCCCTGTGGGGAAAGGCTCACAGTGTTTTCTAGATGCACAGGGCACGCATGCATAGCTTGTGAAGACCCACTTGGCTAATGGTGTAGAATCTGATAACCATAGTCTCCTTTCTCTCTCCCCCTATTCATGATCAGTTCAGAACCAGAGTTTAAAGAATATCGCTAGTACACCATCTGTCCGCATCCCCATCACAGGCTTATAGGGTCAAACGAGCTTAGATTGACTTTTTTAGTGCCCAGGGGCAGCAGGATGGGTCCCAAAATCTTCATTCACTTCCCACCTGGCCCAGCTCATCACAAAGATTCTCATTTACCTGTTACTAGAATCTGAGGGAAGCACAAAATAGTCTGGAATTTTATATTCTTTTATTTGGGGAAAGAGGAGAATCCTCCTATGCAGGAATGCCTTTGCTCCACTTTCAGACATTTCATTTTAAAATAACATCTCAGGTTTGTGTTAGATAAGAAAATAAAGAGCTCTCTGTGCAGGATTTTAAATTTTGGTGGATAGTGGGTGTGGACATTGTGCACAATGTTACTGACCCTAAAGGACATAAAACCGAAGTTTTTAATTGCTTTTATCTCCATTTCTACTCTTCCCAACCACACTGGATAAATAATCACTTAATTTCTTTGAGCTTTCATTATGGGAATGTTTTCTAGGATTTACCAAACACCAAAATTCTTAATAACTGTCTAGTATTCTTCTTTTTTTTTCAATGAATGTTCAAACTCAGGCTTAGAATAACTCTTCTAATCTTGATTATAACCTGGCAGGATTTTCTGTTTCCTAAGACTAGGTCTGAGTAATGCTAAATTGTTTGCAGAAGAGTTTCATTGTAACTTAAAAAGGAATTTTCCTTTTCCTATCTAAAGTTGCTCAATGTGCCAAACAGTTTTGGCTCCTTGTTGAGCACAGACCCCACTACTCTCCCTGAACTTATATTTAGTCGACCAGCATGGCAAGTTGCTGCCAGCACTAATTAGTGCTAGAGTGTTATGTTTAGGGTTTCTTAAGAGATATTGGCTTGGCTTACCATTTCATTTTACATAATGACCTAAAAGTGATACTGAGAAAACCACCTGTTTAACCTGTATCAGAAACAGGTTTGTAGAAGGAGGTCCACTGGTGCCTTTCTGGAAATCATGGAGTTGCCAGGAGTTAGATGTCACTTGTGCAGTCACTGAAAGTTAGTAACTGTCATTGGAATGTTCACAGCAATGTCAAGAATTTTGCTAAATGAATTGTCATGAAGGAAATGAGAATCCAATCTTTACTTTGACTCTCACTGGTAAGCTCCCCCACTGCACTCCTTCACATGGTGAAGGATTATTAGAGATCATTGCCTCTGGCAGGCCAGTCACATTTTGAAATCCTGCTTGGGCCTTTGACCTCCTCATTTGCCACATGCTAGTGATTGAACCTATTTTTTTTTTTTTTTGACTGAGTTAGACTCAAATAAAGAGCCCAACAGACCTTGAAGCCTGAATATATAGTGAAGCCTGAATACATTGTAAGAGAGATTACTGTTAGTTCACTGATTATTTCCCAGATGACCCTTTCAGACTTTCAGAGGGACACCAAAACAGGCTGCTTGCCTTCTGTTTCAGCCAGCATCCCCTTGGATTTCTGATCTCAGCCTTCCTGTTGCTTCCCTTGTCTTTGAATCTTAACAGGTCAATTTAATTTTTTTTTTTTTAGTTGTAGATTGTCACAATGTCTTTTATATGGTGCTGAGGATCAAACCTCATGCATTTGAGGCAAGTGTTCTACCTCTGAACTACAACCCCAGCCCTTAACAGGTAAATTTTTAGGGAAGAACGGCTATCAAGGCCTTTCAGATTCTTGACTCGTCCTATGCAGGAATGCCTTTGCTCCACTTTCACACATTTCATTTTAAAATAAGACTCAGTTCATTATATTTTCTCTCTGTTTGGCTAAGGTATTCCAGAGAGTATTTCTGCCTGATATCTTAGCTGATCTCTGGTTTGCATGGATTCTTCAGGCCCTGAGCAGTCTCTGGGTCATCTCTGGGTCATCTCTTGGTCATTTCTACCTATGAGGGCTGGGAAGCACTCAGGGAGCTTGAGAGGTCTCCATAGGCCAGCCAGCCCTGTTGAAAGCCTGTCCCTAAATTACATCTTCAGCTAAAGCTGGAACAGGATCCAGAAGCACCTTGAATCCCCATAGGGATCAGCGTACCTCAGGGAGGTTGGATGTGTCCTCAGGCAAGGCTGTTACTAACCCCATCACCCCTCACCTTTCCGCTTTTGTCCAAACTTTTAAGCATTACTCTCCACTAATGCTGCTCAAAGTGGGGGTCACAGACCCTGCTATCTACAGGAGATGGGAACAGAAATTGAGAACAAATGGTCTGCAACTTTAAGCAATGTGACAGAGGAATTTATTAATTTACTGTTACACATATATAAAATATATGTATCTATCTATCTATCTATCTATCTATCTATCTATCTATCTATATATCTCAACATTTATGTATATAATTTAGTATCCACTGGAACTGGTTTCAGAATCCTCTGCAGATACCAAAATTCTCAGGTGCTCAACTTGCTTATATAAAATGACATAGCATTTGCATAAAATGTACACAAATCCTTGTACTTTTTAAAGATTATATCTAGATTACTTATGATACCTAACACAATATAAATTAATAAATAGCTGTTATTATTGTATTATTTAGGAATAATGACAAGAAAAAAGTCTGTACATGTTCTGTTCATATGAAATTTTTTTTAAAAAAGTTTTTGACCCATAGTTATTTGAATCCATGCACACAGAACCCATAAGTATGGAGGAATGGCTATATATGTATGTGTGTGTATATATATATGTATATATAGGTGTATATTTATATATGTTTATATTTGCAAACATATGCTGTATGTATGAAAAATGGTTTGTATACATCTATTTTTTTGTTCCTTTTAAGGTAATTTAGTTTTACTATAATTTAGAAAGAGATATTTTGGTATCTTTCCACTAGGTTGTGGCAAAGCAATTAAGATACAAATAGCTGTTTTTTTTTTTTCTTTTCAGACAGAGATTAGTGACCCCTCATTAAATCAATTTAGTGTGATTGTCCAGAATCTAAAAAAACAAGTAATATTAAAAAGAAAATGTTAGAATCCATTGCCTATGTCATTTGATGAAACATCTACCATAGATATACATGTAATTATATCTATACAACACAAATCATTGTCAAAATAGTTTGAAAATTACTGCACTGAAATTGAGCTAATGCTTTCAATGAATGTATGAAAAACAAACTTATATTTTTACATTTGAGTTTGCTAAACTCAATGAAATTATTTTATGGATTATAATTGTAACCAACTACAATTTCTTTTCATCAGGCTCATCTCATCTGGAGAGTGCCTCTCATTGTCTGACATTTTGGACTATTCTGGAGGTCATCATTAGTGTACTTTGTGCTCCATGTAGGTAGAGAAAAATCCTCTGTATCAGCAGCACATTTTTGGCCCTATGTTTACCAACTTTTTCCATATGGATGTCTAATCTTCATTTTAAACCTTCATGGACAAAATCAGAATCCAACTACATTCACCAAGTTGTTCAAGGATTGTTTGATTCCTCCCTTTCTCACTCTTTTCACTTTTTATCCAATGGTAAGTTCTACAGGCTCAATGTCTGTAATACATTATGACCTTTCCACAATCACAATGTATTATGAATCTGCCTGCTTCCTCCATCTTCCAAGGGACCTTTATGGTCCTATACAAGTGAAAGAGCATTCTAACTGATCTATTTCTTTTCTCATCTCTCTAATATCAATTCTGTACCTGGTGGCCTGAGTGAGCTTTTAAAATAAAATCAGAAAATTAAACTCTTATATTTAATATCCTTCATGGTTTTATTTAATTTTGAAACTAATGTCTATACTCCTTAACTGATGCTCAAAAGTTTGCTTTTGCCTTGAAGTCCTGGTTAATCTTTTACCACTCTCTCCTAGTCAGCTCCTGTCAGGCCTAGTGGACTTCTCTCTTTTCCTTGAATATACTGAGCTTATTTCTGCATTAGTACATTTGTACTTATTGTTCTATTATCCTGGGAATGTTCTTCAGCTTCAAAGCTATATACTAAAACTATTTCTTTACTATTTTTTTTTACCATTCATAGATAATTACATTCTGAAAGAAATTAAACATGGAATCCCATTTAATTTTTCCAAATGTAGGCTCTCATTAAGAATCTTAGTTGTCATTGCAATGCCAATTTTGGTGTGATCTATTTGTTGCTTGCTTAAATTTTCTACTGAAATGGGAAGAAGTTTGTTAGTAAATAAATGGGAGAAGAAGAGCTCTAAATTTAGGATCTAGTTGCAAGGAAGTAAAACTCCAGAAGGAGATCATTGACCATGAGAACACTCTTGACTTCAAGTTGGTAGAGGTTAGCAGAAGGTCCCAAGTGGTAGCTAGATGCTGGGAGGCAGAGAGAGTGGTAGATAAGAGCTCCAATTCTGGAGCCAGGGTGTTTGGTGCCCACACTGGCTTTACCATGATGAGCTGAGAGAACTTGAGTCAGTTGTAACTCTACTATTCCTCCATTCCCATCTTTAAAGAGAGGAAATGATTGTGCCTCCCTTCCAGTTATTGGAAGGGTCAAATCAGTTAATATAGTAAGTATTTAGAATGGTACCTGGAATATAAGATCAGCTGTTATTACAGGGTGCAGATCCCTCCATAGAAAGATATAAAAATGAACCCAAGTGTTTGTTGTTATTTCTAGAATTCATTGACAGACAAAATTTACTCTGACATTAATTCCCCCAAATCTACACACTAAAAAGAGGACAAGAAAAGAGAATATATTGCATTTTGGGAAAACAGAAAGAGCTATAGAAAGAACAGAGATAGATCAGAGAAGACCTTTAATTTAAGAATTAAAGATTCTGGCTGGCTGGCATGCAGTAATCCCAGCAGCTTGGCAGGATGAGGCAGGAAGATCTAAAGTTGAAAGCCAGCCTCAGCAATTTAGCAAGACCCTAAGCAACTTAGTAAGACAATGTCTTATAATAAAATACTAAAAAAAGGGCTGGGGGTGTAGCTCAGTGGTAAAGTGCCTCTGGGTTAAATGACTAGAAACCCCTGGCCCAAAATAAAGATACTGAAGTCTTCAAATACTGATGAGATCAGGTCAAAAAGGCTCAGGTTTATAGGGGCTCAAATCTAAGTCAAGCTGAGCAAAAAAAAAAAAAAAAAAAGAAAAGAAAAAAGAAAGAAAGAAAAAGAAAAAAAAGGAATAAGGTGCGATATATACATTGAATTTTTAAAAGCCACAAATTCATAGTGTAGTGATGGAGGATATATTAGGAGGAGAGAAAATAGGAGAGAGGGTAGAAGACAAAGAAGGAGGAAGAGATAAAAAGGGAGGGACAGGGAGAGGGCCAGGACTGAGACATAATTCTTTATTACAAATACTGTCAGGTAAAATAAGAGGAAGAAATTATAGAAAATGATGTTGCAGCTCAGTATAATTGGTTCAAGCAAGGATCATCAGTGTATCCCGAACCATTGTGTGAAACCTCAAAGAAATCAGCACATTCTCACGGATCAAAGTATTAACCCCCAAGCAACTTTTTACCCCCAAGGGAAATATCAAGCTGTCAACTTCTTAACTGTTTTCAAAATTAGTATCAGTGACAGTGGGACAATCTGACATTATGTGCCTTTTTATATGAAGCAGTAAGAAGTACATAATTCTTATCACCTAATAGTAGAATTCTATATATTACTCATACAAAAACATTTAGCCTGTAACATTTAACCTTCTGCACTCTGTAGGTACTATGAGGAAATAGAAAATTTCAGAACACAGAAAATAGTATAAACAAATACCCTGGACTATTTTTTAAAAAATACTATTTTTAGTACAAAAGATGGCACTGAGTATTCTAGATTGATAGACTAAGGAGACCAAGTAATACAGTGTATGAAACTTAATTAGATCCTGAATTAAAAAAATGTTTGAGAGCAATGAGAAAATTCAAAAATAGCATTTACAAGTATTAGGCATTATTTAGGTATAAAAGTTATACTTATTTAAGAGAATATTCCTATTCTTCAGCAATGCCCATTGAAATACTTAGTGGTACAGTATCATGTTGTCTGTAAATTTCTTTATAAAGTTTCAAAAAGTTGTGTGTGTGTATGTATGTGTGTGTGTATGTGTGTGTGTGTGTGTGTGTTCATGCTTGTGTGCATATGTGCTCATCTTTCTGGGTCTTTGTCTTTTTAGTGCATAATGCACATATTCCAAAAGGTTAAACATTGGTAGAATTGAGCGATGGATATGTGAATGTTCAATGTATTATTCTTCTGAATTTCCTGTATGCTTGAAAATATTTTAAATTAAAGCAAAAATATAATGAAAACCAAATAAATAAATAAATAGAGTAGCTTCTTACCTGTTGCATTCTGTGCTCCTGCCAGCCTGGCTCGTATTAAGCCATGTCTCTCCTTGAGGTGAAGAATCCGAACTTTTGGAAACTGAGACATGTATTTATCCAAATTATCTTTTAGGTAGTCTACATAAGAGTAAGGACATACAAGGAGAAACATTAACTTTGTAACTGGGTCTGCACCCAGATTGCCTCTGTAATGTCAAATTCCAAAAACTGAGATTATTATGGTCACTAAATTTTACTGTTTGGGTTAAAGTTTTATTTTCTGACATAATTTTCTTGCAAAGTTTTATTTTCTGATATCATTTTCTTGTTCAATATTATAAGCCTCTGGATTTTTCCATCAGCAGGAGAGAATTTAAGCAATGTATGCAAACTGGAAATTTTGCAAAAGAAGCTGGTGGGGCTACCATCATTTGCCACCACTGTCCTTCTCTGCACAGATATTCCCTCAGTCAGGCATTTTTTTCTCTTTTTAGATATTCATTGGGGGATCCAGCTAAAGGAACATTTTTGGATATTTTAAAGATATGTGGTTTGCAGTCACTTCTGGGTAAAATGAAGCTATTGACAGCTGTACCAAGCAAGAATGCCTTCCAGGAATATTTTGCAGATCATTTTCCTAAGAATTTTGTATTATTTTTTCTGAAGGAGGAACCTGAGAACTGTGTAAATTCCAGGTACAACAAAATCTGGACCTACCTTTCAGAAAGGAACTTTTTACTGCTTAGTATCTAGATACCATATTCTGTTTATGTTTCAAGGCCACTTCTTAAAGTTTCAACCAGTTTTCCTGGGGCATCACATTGCTTCTTGAGCTTGGTGTGATTAAGGCTAAACTGTTCTAGAAACACTGTCATCTCTTTGCTGTTTTCTAAAATTTAATGAAATGGGCTGTGTTTTTGGAATTTATAATGTGGCAATAATTGAACCTGTGAGACCACTCATATACACAAATTGTTTGAAAACCCCAAGAGTGAAATTCTTCATTATAATAAACAACAACAAATGTAAAGATGGCAGTGGACTCTGTTTTTGAACTCTGTTGAAATCACATCTCTCTGGTCCCACTGGAAATGAATTTTTGGCACCATTAACTTGACACATAATCTGCCCTGAGGAAGAAGAACAGGATCTCCATTTCTTTGCTTTCCATAGAACTTAATTCTAGTTAACACCAATAGGAAAGTTATTCTATTAACATGGGACTTTTGCTTATTAGATTCTATGAAGAAAGTCTTGTACAATTGTAGGGAACATTTCTGGACTCTGATATTCAAAGTGTGCATCTTCAGAGAGCTGTAGTTGTAAAATCACTTCTATGTGTGTAGGGGAGTCATAGGTGAGGAGAGCCTGAAGTAGGTAGCTGAACAAAGTTCCAGATGAGTTCAGGTCCTACAGATGCTTAAACTCATGCCTCTAAGTCTCCACATGAAACAATGATTTAGAATTTTATGAATTTTATCAAATTAATGGTAATTTTGCTATCCAACCTACTATAGCCTCCCACCAAATGTCGACATTTCAGAAGAAAGCTTGAATAGTTTAGTACCTTTGGTGCTAAAGTCATCAACCAGCACAATCTCCTTGATGAGGTGTGGAGGAGAGCGGTTGAGGACACTGTGAACGGATCTCAGGAGAGTGGACCACACCTCATCCACGAAGCACATTATCACACTGGTAGTTGGGAGGTTATCGTGAACTAGTTGTTCTGCACACCTGGGTCAGAATAGAAGCAAAGTATAGAGATGAGATCCATAAGATGGTTTGAGAATATCACCACAACGCACACACGCACAATTTATACACATATATATTTACATATAAATAAACAATCATTTTAGCAAGTGTCTTTTCTTGGGGAATGGGTACATGCAAAATAAAAGAGAAGCAGCAAAATAACCAGTAACCAGTAGCAGTAGTTGCTGTAAAGAACTAGTAATGCAAGCCGGTAGCGCTTCCTGTGAAGGCAAGAGGCCGAGAACACAGAGGCCATTCATATCTTCCTTAAGCTTTTGTGCCTCCATTTCCTCATCTGCAAAGTGAGATAATGGTCATTCAAAGTTTCATAAATTGGTGATGATGGTTCAGAGCTAGCATAGTTCCTGGCACAGGAATTCACTAAATCTAGTGTTGTGATCATTATTAAATTATATACCAGAATAGAGCATTTCAAGGTTTTTGATGTTGCTAAGTAGTTTATGATTACCCTTGTAACTGGCCATCTGCCAAATGCCAAAAGGAATGTTCTTTCTTCCACTCGGCATGTAAATGCGTTTATGGTATGATATTTATGTACCAAACAATTATGATGTTCCAGCTTCCCTCTGTATCTGGAGAGTCCTTGCTCATACTTTGCTACAGAGTAGACATAGTTGAAGTTACATTGTTGGCATAGAAATGAGAGCAGGCTGGATGGGAAATGGTGGTTTGCCACTGGTCTCAGGTCTTTTCCATGCTCTGCAGTTTATCCAGCTCCATTGCTGGCACTGTTCTAGGTCCCACCTGTTACTCCTTACAAGAAGGCACCCAGTGGAGCCTCACAAAGAGCATTTGCCATCCCACCAACACAATTCCTCTTAGTAATAATTAATGATGATCATAGATAAATATTATAAACACTGTGCCTCATTTTGATTTAAACCTCTACTGTCATCTCTTCCCATTTTACACATGAATAACTGAAATCATGGAGAAACTAGTTTATGATGACACCAGTCAGTAAATGGCAGAGCTGGGACTGAAACTCTGGTCCAGTCTAGCTCCAGAAGCAACCACTCAGAAAGTCTTAAGTCTACAATAAAAGCAGCTGCTTATAGATGTGACATTCGTGAGAACTGATGCCTCTATTGAATAACATAATTATATTTTGTTTATTTGATAAATGACAAATAGATAAGAGTAAAAATCATAATAGAACAAACCACATTGGAATGATACTTAGATAGCTAAGAAAATACTATTATGTGTGCATGTAAATTATTAGTTAATTATGTGTGACAGTTGCTTGAGATAAATATTATTCGATACTTCCTCAAATAGAAAAAAATGAAGAGTGAGAAGTTAAATGACTCACCTGGTATCATTCATCTAGAATGCATATGGCAATGTGAACAAATGGTTCTCATTCTACTGCTCTATGCTGGTTTTTCTGTAGTAAGTGTATGGGTTTGGGAATTAGATGAATATGTACTCAAATACCAGTTCTCCCTAATTATTGGCTTTATGAAGTCACATAATTTCTTTAAACCTTAGTTTGCCAACTATGAAGCATAGAATTAAAATCTGCTTGCTGTAAGATTAAATACATGTATTATGTAAAACTCCTCTGGTATATATCTGACTCACAGCATGTGTTCAAGAGATGGGTGGCAATTCCAGCTATGCCCTGTAATATCAATGGCTGGGTATCATAATAACCAACAAAGCCTTAGGAAAATGTACCTATACAGTCCACAACCTCAGAAAACCAATTCAGAATGTTTGCATAGTGTCTGACAATCTGTGTCTTAAAAAACAATAAACAAACTACATGAAAAATAACAAGGAACAGAATGAGAACTCAAAAGGCATTGATAGGCCAGTTGGGGCACTTATGTTCTAATCTAAAAATTGATTTATTCTCTGTATTGTTTATGACTGATCTTAAAGTTAAATGGAGGGTTTAACACTGGTGCTAAATTTTCAAGTGGTGTAAAATCAAAATAACATTTTAGTCAGGTATCTTGATCTCATAATCAGGTATCTAGTGTTAACATAAAATAGCAGACTGTCTAAACTAGTCTTAACCTTATTCTATACAAAATATGTATGAATTGGCAATCTGAATAATATAAGATATCCCTGACCTCACTTAAGTGCCATATTAGTTTCTTGTGGCTGCTGTATATAGCAAATTAATAAGAATTCTGCTCAACACTTCCTTCCTCAATTCATCTCTTTCCTCCCACATTTTACTATGGACAGAAAAAAAGACACAGGTCATACCTTGAACACTTTGCTTGGTACTCTCCTTAGCTAAAATATTTATCACTTGCAAGTTCTGCTAATTTTCACAGGATAGGCACAATTTATTCAGGCTTGCTGTCACTACTTAACACACCTTGTCTTTCCTCCAGTTCCCAATAATTTGTTCCATATTTCTTTTTGAGCCATAGCAAGAAGCACTTACAATGCTCGTAGTTCATATTCACAGAGATAATAGAAACTTCCTTATTTCCTTCTGAGCCCACACGAGTAGCATATTTAGCATCCATTTTCCTACCAACAATATCTTCAGGATAATCTATACTTTTTCTTACATGATACTAAAATTCTTCTAGTTTCTGTTTATCTAATACTCAATTATATTTCTTTGGCACAAATGATCATATCCAGTCTTTTGCTACGTCAGGTAATATTAACAGGTCCTGGAAATAAGAAGTAAATATATCTTTTTTTGGGGGGGGGGCATTTTTATCAGTCTGCCTCAAGGATTTAATACAGTATAGAATATGGAATTTTTGAAGGCAGATGTATCTATTATTTCTTTTAATATGTAGGTGCCCCCCTTATCCCTCAAACAAAGGTAAGTTTACATAGGTTTTACAGAATTGTTAAAGTCCTCCTCCTCCTCCTCCTCCTCCTTCTACTACTACTACTGGAAAAAACTACCTTTGGAGCTTCTGTGAAATTTATGAATTTATAAAATGAAACCCATGAAAGGGTTAATTGACAAATGCCAAATTATGAATCATAATATTAATACTTAATTTTATAAAAGAACAAAAATTTTAAAAGAAAATAATATGAATTAAAAGATTGCAAGTTTTTTAAATAAAAAATGTGCTTGGTTGCATAATTAACAACAAATGGGGGGCAATTTTGGAACTAGAAAAGCTTTAGATTCTGAAAATTCTTTTACAATTAAAAAAAAAATCTCTAATGTAAGTGATCTCTCTGGCAGTGACCATCAAAGGCCAGAGCCATGAGACTGCAGTTTCACAGGTAGGGAAGGGACAGGGCTATAGCACAATGAAAAAGAGCCAACAGTGTATTTAGGAATGGAAAATATTCTGAAGACTGTTTTCTGGGAAACCTAGAAAGGAAAGAAGTTGGAGGGTGGGTTTCAGGGCAAATCTTTCACCTGTGTTCCTTTCCCTATCCTCAATGGTGAGGAACAGAATCCTACTTATGGGCTCCAGGGAAGGGGCGGATACAGTTGAGAGCTGACACCCCCCCACCAAAAAAAAAAAAAAAGAAAGAAGTAATTGGTAAGATTATTAGTGAAGTAAGGTTACTTTACCTTTCTCAAACTTATTGCAGCAGTTTATGCAATTAACCAGCCTAATCTCCCTCATTCACTCTTCCCACCACCACCCTGCTTTTTATTTTCTGTTCCCAAGAGACAAGACATGACACTTTCTGAATTTTCACCCATTACTGGCTTTTCCTTTTCAATTCCTTAGTTTTTATCTCTTCATAATTTCTGATAGAAGATTCTCAGAGCTGGGTCCTGGGCTGTTTTCTTCTGTGTATGATGTCACTGGATGATCCCCTCTGGGCCCACAGTTTTCAGTATGATAATGTCTCAAATTTATATATTTAGATGAGATTTCACCTCTGACTCCAGACTCATGTGTTCAACAAACTGCTTAACATCTTCTCTGTGTGTCTCCAAGGCATCATACACACAAAGTATCTTTAACAGGAATTTTGATTTCTCCCCACCCAGAGTAGCAGGTTATCTACACTTTCCCCTCTCACTACCCACCATGCTGTTGTCATATAGATGCCATTCTAGACATCACACTCCTCCTGGCTGCAAACAAAAGGCATCTATCAACTCTGTCCCTAGTTTTGCCAGAATACATCTCAATTCCAACTTCTTTAAACTTCCATATCTCCCCCACCCCATTCTTGAGTTTTCTCCATCTTTCTCTGGGATTCTGCTAAAGTCTCCTGATAGTACTATATTTTCTCTCCTTGCCATATCCTTGCCACTTTCTATCTTAAATCCTTCAGTCAATCCCTATTGGACAAAGCAAAAAAAAAAAAAAAAAAAAAAAAAAAAAAAATATATATATATATATATATATATATATATATATATATATTCCTCCCCCCCCCCCCAAATCCTTCATTATAGCTTGAGATTGCTCTGTTCAACTGGCTGTCATTCCACTTCCTGTCATATACTTTACCTAGCTATCTTGGTCCTCTTTAAGGTCTTTCATGATGTTAAATTTCTAACTTTTGTTATTTTCTTAACTTGGGGCCATTTTCCTAGCCTCTTCATGCCTTCATGGTTGACTTCTTTTCTTTATTTAGCATTAGCTTGAATATAACCCCCACGGAGAAGCTTTCTCTTGCTGCCCTATTGAAAGTGCATTCTTCTGTTATTCTCTCTTTTTTTAATATTTATTTTTTAGTTGTAATTGGACACAATCTTTATTTTATTTTTATGTGGTGCTGAAAATTGAACCCAGGGCCTCACCCATGCTAGGCGAGTGCTCTACCATTGAGCCACAATCCAAGCCCCTCTTCTATTATTCTCTGTTATAGTCACTTTTGCTTCTGCCATAATATTGACTTATCAATTTTCTTTCCATTTCTTCTACATCCAGATTTTAGTGAGTAGAGGTCAAATCTGCCTTCTTTTCACATTACCACAAGCTTCTAGCATGGTTGCCCATAACAAATATTTGATAAACATGTACTGAATGGATGAGATGGAATGA